GAAAGTAGCTGGTATAAATAAGTGTAAAACCATTAGTGATGAACGGACGCAATAAGAGCAGAGGGGGAGAAGTCAGGACCCAAAATGGCCACCTTGCTGCAAAGATCATGTGAGACAATAAAGGTCATGATGTACGCCCTATAAAGTGTTAAAGTGTTAGTGGTAGAAGAGTCCAGTTGGTGGCTCACATCCCAGGCTGAAGACAGGACTCACCAAGAGGGTTGTGGACATGGGACAAAATAGTGGATTCTTTATTTTTAAATCCCAAATCGAATCAAATCACCTCGCCCATCAGTTTAAGCAAAATTCCATCACCCATCGAATCACCTCGCCCATCAGTTTAAGCAAACTTAAAGCTGACACCTGCCCGATTGAAGTATTATTTATTCTGCTCTTTCACATTTCACTTCCACTTTGGTAGTAAAATTATTATTAGTGCATGACTATTTTCAAATCTATAGATTTATTAAACTCTCTAAACCAAGTCTTGTTACTATGTTTGGCAGCTTCAAAACACATTAGTAACTTTTACCCAAGCAGGACATTTGGAAACACCATGGAGTTTTACAGCTACTGTAATTAGTCATCTGACCAGTAACAAGCAAAAGTTTTTTTATATATATATTAAAAAAAGTCAAGCAATATTAAATCGTTTTATTTTACAGATTGCAGAATTTCTGCCCCTTTTCGTGCTGCATTTTTAATCTCTGCACCTCTATTGTCTTTTAGGACAATTACTTAACTTCCTCAGTGCTGCATTTAGTTTGAGTCTAATCCACTTTGCCATGTTTCCTGTTGAACTAGTTTTTTTTCTGAGGTCACTTATGTTGGATTTCCTGTCTAGTTAGTTTCACAATTATCTTAATCCGTTTTTCTTGGTAATTCTCTGTAATTCTATTCTTGTCTTCTATTAGTTCTCAACTAATAGTTGAACCTTTATTTCACTTCATTCTTTTTGTCTTCACCTGCAACAGTGAGTTTCCACCAGGCCATCGTTTGCTCGTCACCTTGTTCGACCTTGAACCCGGTCCTCTCAGGCTGCTCTGTTTTATCCCAACAACTCTCCTTTGACCTCTCCTTTTGTTTGAGAGCGAACACGTTGTGATCTTTTTACCATGTCCCCTGTTGTTTCGTTTCATTATAACCGTGATTTATCTGACTGGGCTTGTGAGCTGCTGACGAATGACGCGGCTGCGTGTTTTCTTCGACTTCTGAATCGGTGCTTTGATGGGAGCTTTGGATGGATGGCGTCTGATGTTGAAATGTTGAACAGACTCCTGACACACCAGTCATCACGCGCCCGTACGCACATCAGAGGGGAGTGTTTGCTTGTTGTCGTTGAGAGTTTAGCGTTTCCTCTTCTCTCTCCTCTGCTTCTATTTCAGGGTGTTTAACTTTCTTTAATTGCAAGTTTGTCTCTTTTTGACAAGGTGCTTTTGGGACACGGCGTCTGGATTTAGATAAAATGATAAAGTTATGAAGCTCGCTGGTTTTAGCTGCGTGCAGTAGTGGAGCAGGACGCACGACGAAAGCTGGATAAAAACCTCCTGCTAAAACCCACTTTAAATCTGTTTACTCTTTGAAAAAACACTTTTCCTGTTGTTGTGCACCTTTTACTACATATCCCGTATGGTGCACAGTCGCAGCCCTGAAGCGCCGCGGCGTTCACAGTGGTAGAAAAGCTGGTCAGAAACATAAAATATTTTTTTTACTTCCCTTAAGATTGCCTGTGGAGGTTTTTTTTTCAAAGGTGCAGATTTAGATGAAAAATATCTGTTGAAGGAGGACGGAAGATGAAGGGGAGGTGCAGAGAGACCTGCATGGTTCCCTTCCTCGTTCTCCGACTCCTACTGCTGAGGAGAAACACTCTCCTGACATGAATCATAGATGAGTGTGTGCCAGTACGTGTGTGTGAGGGGGAAAAGTGTATTTCTAATAAAACCTCTCCCTTAAATTTGTGTGTATAAGAGCAACGGTCGGCCGCCTGCGTCACTAATGCCACACAGCGTAGCGATCCACGAGTGCCTCCCACGTGGTGACGTTACCTTGCTGAACTCTCCGTACATCACTCCTCCATCCTCCCATCATTTCACCTCCGTCTCTTCATCAATCACCGCACTTCTCCCACAGCTCACAGCGATGCTGGACCAATTAGATCATCTAATGGAGCCAATTTGCAATTTAACACTCAGATGAGCCCTAACATCTTAGAGGTCTGTCCAGGGGCGCAACGTCTGCATGGAAATCTGAAAGGGAACCTGAGACTCGTACTTGTGTGGCCCTCTGCTGCCCCCTGTGCCTGCTCTTGCTCAAAGTGCAAGTACTGGACCAGAAGAGAGCCCAGTTTGATATTTATTGGTTTTACTGCCTCCTAGGGTGTTTGCAGTCCAGCTACATCAGTGGACGTGTTAATATTTTACTTAACTTTACTACCGATTATTCTCTCTCAATTTTTTTCAGCAGTTATGTTTTGCAAACTGAAAAAAAACAAGTATCGGAAAATAAATATTTATTCAGATTTAGCCTCTATATAAAGTTTGAAGTTTTTTTTATGAATTTTTCAAATTAATATTCATACACACAAAGGGTTTTCATGTTTTAGTTAAGAGCTGGTTCACCCTTTTAAAAAATTAAAATAAAATTTAATACACTAAACATCAAATAAAAAAAATTAATAGTTAAACTTCTATTTGTTAAGTATATGGACCAAAAAACTTTTTTTTTTTTTTTTTTTAAATATAAAGATGTAGAAGTAGTGACTGGTTCGATCCCCAGTGCCTTTCCCTGTGTGTACATGGGTCCATGTGTCCACAAAGCTGCAAGATTAAGTGAACTGTTCTCTCTAAATTAACCCCAGGTGTGAATGTGAGTGTGAATAGTTGTATGTCTCTGCACATGTGTGGTGTACCTCATCCTTTCTTGCTGACTGTTTAGCTACAGTCTCACCGTTAAAGATGAATGAATAAACCTACAACTGGATATGTTAGCTGTCCTACGACATCAACATGATGTTCACACTCAAAACTTCTTTGAGGAAACTCCTCAGTAGCCCACTAGTCCTTGTGAAGTTGTCTTAAGTGTCCATTAGAGTGCTTGAAAAATGTCTTTTTTTTCATAGTTAATGTTAAAGAATAACAAATATATTATCTATATTCATATTCACGTTAATGAGAGAGGAAAATACCCACAAAAGTATCTATATTTATATTCACTCTAATGAGAGAGGAAAATACCCACAAAAGGTTAAATTTGACATTAAATATCTCATTGAATACCTGTGTTTTTTATTTTTTCTAGTTAATAGGTGAGCGCTGAGGTCTTCATGACTGTTGCACCTCCCTCTGCTCCCTCCACATTCTCCCTCTTTTATCTCTCTGCCTCCTTATTTCCGACTTTCGTACATCCCCGAGTCCCAGGGTTTAACGTTGGCTGCTGTGGCGTCTGCGTCTGTGTGCGCCTACGGGGGCGTACAGTATGGCTCACCCCTGTATCTCGTGCAAAGCGGGCCGGTCGCCGGAGTCTCCCTGGTTTAATTAGAACATGCACCGCGTAGCCTGTTTTCCATGAGAGCGTGCGTGTCCAGACGCACACGTGGACACGTGGGCAGAACTAAGCCCGTGCTGAGCAAAACAAAGGCGGGCAACAATATATTAAGGCTTAACACACTGCGCCGTTAAAAGACAAAGAGCTATTACAGACGCTGTTACGGACTTGCTCGCAATTACCTCTGCCTGAAAGGAGACGGATCTGTTTTCATCACGTTTTCCCTCTCCGAGCCCAAGGATATCCTTCCACCAAACCAGCAGAAGAAACTTATTACATGAAAAGGCCTCCTTATTTCTGACGTTCTCCTGAGTGAAGCCGCTCGTACGCTCATCAGCCTATAGACTGCAATTATCTTCTGCCTGGCCCGGGGACACTTGCAAAATTTAAAATAGCTTTACTGGCAGTGGAGGAGGGAGGAGAAAGGACAACAAAATCACACAGGCCCTTCAGTGGGTGCAATTATACGCTTAATGATGACTGTAAATGGGACAATTATGGCACATGATAAGGGGTAAGAGAGAGCGCGGGGGAGGTAATAGTGAATTCTAACAATCAGATAAGACGGAAATAGTGTGTGAAATTTCGCTCTTTTTTTTTGCCAACGCCAGCCTCTGCTTCCCATACTGTTATGTAACGTCACCCAACGAAGATTTAATCCCCCTCATGCTTTACTGGCACAGGGTCTTTTACATGAGGATTTGCACATTTATGCAGTAGATTACATGAAAAGGAGTTGCTGTGTGTTGTCACTCATTCATGTGTGGGTCAGTTCAGGCTTACAGTGTGTGTGTGTGTGTACGAGCATGTGTGTGTCCGTGAGCTCAGCAGGCTGTCAGAAAGTATCCCGGGCCGTTATAAGCTGCTTACAGATGACCATTATTGACCTTTGACCTCAGCAGGCAGTTAAAGGCTCACCCTTATCTTTAGCCTGTTCTATTTATCCATACACTCCTTTTATGCCGCTGTCATCTCGCCTTAAGCCCCAAAAGAAATTAATAAGTGGAATGTGGAGGCAGCAGTGACAGTGTTTCACTTGTAACTCTGGGACAAAACAGCACCGAGTTCTACAGTAGAATGTTTATTGAAGACATGATGGAACATTATTTTGGTTTCAGTATTGTGTCACTTTGTGTTTTCTACAGCCACACATGCTGTAGTAAAGGAAAGGGCTGTGAAATCTTCCCTGAAATGACTATTGACTTTTGTGATTACTATAGTCTTTGAATTACAGTAAGTGTGTCGTTTCAATCCTGAAGCTGTCGTGTCGGGATGTGAAAATGATGTTTCGCTGACATTGTTTAATGGGATACGTCTCTGTGTCAGTTAAAATTAACATGCCCCCCCGACTCACCTCCCACCCCCCTTTTACCTCTCCTCTGCTCCCTATGCCCTCCCCTCTTTTTTTCTATCTTTATTTTTCCATCTTCTCATCAACGTCTATTTTCTGTCTCCAGGACTCAGTGGGTGTTCCAAAGATCTGTCCAATGATCTGGATGCGAGCAGATCAATAGTGATGGAACGCAACAGACCCATGGCTGGGGAAGCTTTGAGGATCGCCATTACTTGGAATCAGTACTGACCTGGCCCCACCTCCTTCCTCTGCACCCCCACCCCAGGGAAGATCTCGATCCTGGCGACAGTTCTGTTGTCCACACAGCTCACCTGGTATTGAAAAACCCTGAAGAGGCGTCTTTTTTAATCTTAAAGGGCCAGTGGGCCTTTTTCTTTAATCCGTCTCCTATGTTTCATCTACCATTTTGCTGGTCATAATTTGCCGTCTTTTATAAAAACAAACCAAAACCACAAATATACTCTGCCAAACTAGAAGCAGGTGGCGGAACAGTATGAATCCACTCGTGTCCCCTCTTCCGCATGCTTTGAGCAAGCGCAGTCGACGAGGTGCGTCCTGCAGGACTGCGGCGACACACTGGTGCCTGATGGGTGCGCTCAGCCTCGTCCTGCTCTTCAGCTTGGCCTCAAGCCAGAAGATGGATCCATCCAAACACCCAATAGTGACCACCAACTACGGCAAGATCAGAGGCATCAAGAAAGACTTGAACAACGAAATCCTCGGCCCCGTGGAGCAGTACCTTGGCGTTCCTTACGCCACAGCGCCCATCGGCGACCACCGCTTTCAGCCGCCCGAAGCTCCCGGATCCTGGCAGGAGATCCGTAACGCCACACAGTTTGCCCCCGTCTGTCCTCAAAACATTCACGGCGTGCTGCCAGAGATAATGCTCCCCGTGTGGTTCACAGACAACCTGGACGTGGCAGCCGGTTACATCCATAACCAGAGTGAGGACTGCCTTTACCTGAACGTCTACGTGCCCACGGAAGATGGTGAGTTCACTGTATTTGTTAAGGGGGGTGGAGTGGGTGTGATTTGTTTTTGTTTTTTTCTTGGCTGTACACTCAGCCTCCCTTCACAAGTAAAGATGTCCCAGCAAATTAAAATATTTTCTTTTACAAATTCCTGTCCATGGTTACATCTGCAAATGGCACTTTTTACCTCCAAGAGTATTCCAGCATGGCTGACTGACTTTAACAACTTCCAGCTCACTTGTTTTGAAAGGAGTGCTCTGTAAATTGGTCTCATGCGCTCAATGGCTAACACACACACACACACACACACACCAGAGTGGATATTGGATGTTCAGACGTTCAGAGGTATTATGTACTAATGATTCTGACCACTCTTCAGCTAATTGTCTGGAAAACTCCAGGCAATATCTTCTTCCGTTTCCATGTTAGCTCAATGAATTCTGAAGGAGTCTCGTCGTAATCTTTGAATTCAGTATACTTTTCCTGACTCTTCTGTTCTTGTGAAGGAGATTTTTGGTTTTCTCAGTCTGTGTCATTCAGCCACACAGCACAGGTTGACACAAAAGCAACTCCCAGGTGTTAAACGGGAATGAGGTGAAACTGGGTTTTTATACTCTTTTTTTTTTTTTTTTTGCGACCTTTAAGGACACTCCTCCTTCTGCTCAGATGGTGTTCCGCAGATGTTTTTTGTCTGACCAGACGTTTCCTCATTTTGTCAGCAGGTGTTATATGAGGGATTACGACTTCCGTTATCCACTCCGATCGCACACAGTTGGAGAGGTTTTTGAAACGTTAATTAAATTCTACTTTTTTTCATCATTATGAGCTGCTCTGAACCAGCACCACTCTCTACTGTTCATACTATTATCATATATTTATATATATTTATCTAAATATATATAAATATGTCTATATATTTATTATACATTAATTATTATATTTTTGCACAGGGCACAATCATTGCACTCAGTTCATTTTTTAGCATTTTTCCCTTTTATTTTTTTATACAATTTTCATCAAACATGATGCGTATGTGTATATATATATAATATAGTCTATTCTTTTCACCTGCCTTTGTCTGTGGTGCTTTAAAGACACCATGCAAATGCACACACAGTGCAGTGTGTACAGGTACAGTGGCAGGCAGCACGGAAAACGTTCGTTTTGTTTGTTACCTCGCTGACTAATGACTTAAAAAGGGTATCATCAACATGGTACTTCACACTACAAATCCCTCGATTTATTGAAAAGCGAAGCAGGCAACACATGAACTCTCTTCCTTCCTCATCTCTTCTCATCATCGCTGCCATATTTATGGCGATCGAGTCTGGCGTGCTTGACATTGCAAGCCTCAGCACCTTCTCTTGCCACCTCGGGGGGTTGTTTTTTTTTGCACCTCCCTCTTTCTCAGCTTCTTCTTCTGCATTGATTTATTTTTTCCTGTGCACAGAGAAAAAGGGTGGAATATTAACTAGGGTTAAATAGTTAAAGGAGGAGGCGAGAAAAGCAAGCAGGGGGGAAGAGAGGGAACAAGGAAAGAAAGAAAACCACGGGTGAAGGAGAGGAGGGGGGTTTAAACAGTCATCACTCACTGTAAGTCAGTGTCAACCTACTGCTGTATTACATAATGTAAATGTGCTCACACGTCCATGCATAAATGCTGTACCTGCACAAGGATGTTTTGGGTTTTTTTTTCCTTTTTTGGCTGCCTTTATGCCGAGTTATTGGTATGTTTTGAACATGTCATAATAGGAAGAACCATGAACCTGCTGCCAGTATTCCAACTCCAAAATTAACTCCAACTCCAAAATTAAAACACTTATGATAGAATTCCAACTCCAAAATTAAAACACTTATGATTGATGTTTCTTATTTATATTTACATTTATGCATTTAGCAGACACTTTTCTCCAAAGCGTCTTACAAGAGTATAAACAGTTCACAGACCAGCAAAGATACTTCAACAGTACATACTTTGGGAATGATATAATTGGTTATTATCAGTATATCATTATATCTTTACTTGGGTAGTTTGTGATCAGGCTACAACTCCTTTGAACAGCTAGCAGTAATCACTCAAACATGGAACAGGATCTGTTTGATCCAGGTTTTATATCCATTTTGAAGTGTGAGTTTGGTTTTACTTTTGTGAGGTCAAAAAAAAAACAGGCCCATTTTATAATAACAAAAACTGTCCAACTTTTAAATTAACATTCTTTAATATGAAATTCTGTTGAAACAGAAAGGCCAATAACACCATGTTTTATGAGAACACCAGGTTTTTATTTTTGACTAATCCAAATGATGGAAGTAAAAACACGGAAAATGACGAGAAAAATACGCAAAAGTCAAACTCATAGAGTTGTTTTATTTTTTGTCATCATTGTGCATCTTGATTTCCTTCTTTTTTTAACTGCCTTACTAGACTTAGACTTATTTACTGCCCTGCGCTCGGTGAATCTTCCCTGATGCAAGCCAGTCATCTGACATCAAGTTGAAGCCTGAACAAATGCATGCTGGGTGTTTTAGCCTTCAGCTGCTTTCCTGGTACTAAAATCTTTCCATACATGTGTGCAAATAACTACACTGACAGTGTGTTAGAGCCACAAAATGTAAATGGCCAGTGGAATTATAGGATGAACTGTGTTCTATTTCTGCCCATGTATTATAAACCATTATTATTGTACATGTTTATTTTGACAGCCCTTATTATAACATAATCTTTATTTTCCCTCTAAGCTCCACATCTCTCTGCCTGTCTCTCATATATACATATTTATCAGTATTGGTGTGTATTTTTTATTTTTTTTTGCCTGTATCACCTTCTGTGTAATGCTTTATTCCGTGTATAAACTTTTATACTTTAATGTCTACCTAATATATAAATAATAACAAAGCTCATGTAATTCTTTGGTTGGTATAGTTGTGGTTATCCAGGCTAAATGACCTCCTCGGTGTTATTTAAATAATTGAAAGTATTGAGTCATGAATCAGTACAATTCAAGAATTATGTGACTACTATAAATATTTTACCAGGATCACAGTTTGGACTCATTATCCCAGTGATCCCATGGCATATATATATATATATATATCGCCTTAAGAGCCAGAGTCTTTGCCCTCCAGCAGAGTTGCTACCTTACCAAGCACAGGATGGGACGGGGGAGGCAGAGAGGGTGGGCTCTGCTGGTTTCCCCGGAGATGGCATCCCATAAATCATAGCGAAAGGTTTTCATGTGGCTCCTGCAGAGTCACGATGGATCGATGGACCAGGGTAGGGAGGAAAGGACTGGCCACCGCTGCTGCTGCCTCAGGCTCACAGACAAACCACATGCTTCTCTCAGCAGTTAGTAAGTGTTAATGGAGCCCAAGTCTTCATGGTGAATGAGTTGGAGTCGTTGGACTCAGCTGCCTCGAACGGGAACTTGTAATGAATGTGTACTCACTCAGTGATTGTGACTATTCAATGCTTTTCGCAAGTTTTCCAAGTAGCCATGCACTTTTCTCCGATGCTGTTTCATTTCCTTTTTTTTTAGTTTCTTTTACTTCTCAGCACATCCAGAAGAGGTTTTTTATACAGTACCATTGAAACTATTTCTTTAGTTTTACTAAATATTAGTATTTTACTGACAAAAGAGGGGCAAAAGAGGGGCAGTACTGGCACTCTTTACATTCAGGTTTCTATGTGACAGCATAGGTTGTTATAAATATGCATGTCATGGATCCTCTGGTAAGCTTCCAGGAGACAGATGCCACCATTCTTAACAGATTGTTATTGGTGGTAGGCCAGGGTTCCACACTGATAAGCTGTTACAAAGTGCCTTTTAAGCAGCTAGTTCTACTCAATTAATCCCGTTCTAGGAGGGGATACATAGGTTTTGCCAGATAATCCCCTGGGATTTAAACTGCCAACCTCAGCATTGTCAGAGCCGTGTTTCCTAGGCTCAGCTTTGGGGAGCCTCATAAATTATGCCACACCAATACTTCATCTATCTCCCTCATCAGGACCCAGCGCTCACATCTTCCACCTCCTGCAGTATTTCAGTTTTCTGTGGGGATTCATTAAGAAAGGTTCAATACTAACACAGTTCTCTACATGTTGGCCGACTGCTGCACCAGGACGATGGATAGATAGCTACAGTCGATGGATGGATGGATGGATGGATGGCCTGGCAGACAGGCCGATGGATGTATGGATAGATAGATGAATTAATGGATACCAAGATTGGCAATTAGTCAGATAGATAATGGATGTTTGGATGGACCAATGGATTAACTGATGGACTGGAAGACGGAAAGACAGATGGATAAATAGATGGATGGATGGATGGATGGGTGGATGGATCTCAAGAAAGTGATGGATGGATATATGGTTGGATGGACGGATGAACAGATGGGTAAACAGATGAATCGATGATAGATGAATGGCAGGATGGATGAATAGATAAGCAGTCAGATGTATGAATTTTCGATGGATAATTGCATTGAAGGATATAACGTTCTATAAGATATACAGTATAGCCTTGATGAATTATTGATAGATGAGTGGATGGATGGATGGATGGATGGAAAGACAGACAAGTAGACATATAAAAATGACAAGATAAAGGAATGAATGGATAGACAGAGTTGGATAAAACATGTAGATGGATTAATGGACTGATGGATATAAAGATCAACAGGTGGATTGATAGTCAGACAGGTAAATGGATGGGACGATAGAAGAACGGATGGATGGACGGGTGGACAAGAAGACAATGACTGTAGCAGTGGATGGATGATAGATGGATAAAGAAGATGTAGCAATGGATGGATGATAGATGGATAAAGAAGACAGATAGATACTGTAGATCATAGATGGATAGACAATCAGATGGATTGATGGCGAAAACAGGTAGATGGATACATGGATTGTTGTTATGGAGATCAACAGATAAATAGATGGGTAGATGGAGAGACTAAAGCAAAAACAAACAGATTAATGTTGAAATGTGTGCTGTAGCTCAGCTGATTTTTCT